ATTTCGACCCTGAAATGCAAAGTCGATGCAGCCCGCTTCTTATATGGTCCAAGGTGTTCATGGGGGTGCAAAACATTGACGACCACCCAAACAGACACGCCCCTTCCCACAGACCCCCAGGATTAGACCGCGACCTGAGCTCCGGAGTGTTTGGCATAGCCGCACCCTTAGAGATGCGACCTTCTCCACTCCACTAGCTCCGCGCTTTCTTGCGCTCTCTCTCTCTTTCTTTCTCTCCCACTTTCTCTCTCTCTCTCTCTCTCCTCTCTCTCTTTCTCTTCCGCTTTCTCTCGTTCTCCCCCCCTCTCTTTCTCTATCCCTTACTCTATCTCAAGGCTCTCTCGACAACTCTCCCCCCCGCTCGCTATCTCGCTATCTCTCTCCCTCTCTTTCTCTCTCTTTCTGCCCCCCCCCTCTCTTTCTCTTTCCCTCTTTCCCTCTCTCTCACCCACACGCACACATCATCACCATCATCTGTCACCAAGCAGGGGTTTCGATTTTCAAACGCCCCACGCACAAGACCAAACATCTTTACTCACACACAGAAATGATTTGAAGTAATACTTCTAGATCTAGCTGTGCCTACTGAACAGGAGCATCGGTGGTCTAGTGGTAGAATACTCGCCTGCCACGCGGGTGACCCGGGTTCGATTCCCGGCCGTTGCAGTTTTCTTTTACTAAAAATGATATATTATTGATTCACATACTTGGAACACTTCCATAGCTTCCTATCCGAAAAGTATTCGCACCAAGAGTTTTTCTTGGGTTAAAGTCATAGATCATTTTTCTGGCAAATCATACTTTTCATGTAAAGTAATTATTGCGGGTGTGTTACACCTCAATCGACACAACTTAGAATATTCTGGAGGCGGGCTGCTTCGATACTGCCAGTCAAACCAGGGCCATGATTGACGGAAATACCAGTATTTTAATTTTTAAAAAACAAAAAACTTCCCCACTCCGGAGTTGAACCCACGACCTTTTCGTACTACAGCGCAAGTGCCAAACTGTGCCACTCAAAGGACGTCGGTGTCAATTTCGTAATCATGCCAAGCGATGAGGAGAAAAGGGAAATGTGTCGGAGTCTGAGACTGAAAGAAATGACACCTTGGAAGTATGTAGTGAGAGGATGGATGTTGACTAGTAGTGACCACATCCCTCCCTCTCCCCTTTCCTTCTCGTCTTCGCTGTTACCACGTTATAAAGGCTTCGATCTGTTTGGAGAAAAGGCACAGGAAACCTTTATCTTTAACTTAATGGGAATGCAAAACAAAAGCTAGACTGTGGAGCATCGGTGGTCTAGTGGTAGAATACTCGCCTGCCACGCGGGTGACCCAGGGTTCGATTCCCGGCCGATGCAGAAGCTTTTTTCTTAACGTTGTACAAAACTACCCATCAGTAGTTCGGCGTTTTTGTTTTAGGTTTCGACACAACGTCAGCTATGTAACAGTTAAGCTCCTTCTTGTTGCTCACAAGAAGGATAACTTCAATTCTTAAGTAGAGAAAAACTGTTGCATCGAGTACATGCAGTTTATTGCTTTGGAGAAACTTTATGCCACCCAGGGGGACAGAAAAAGCGTAACAAAGGAGAGACAATTTTGACAAGTAATAACAGAAATTGCGCGTGAAAGGCGTGGGTCTGATCTGATTCCTTTGTGGGTGAGGCAACGTGGTGAAATCAGGCGCTCGTCAAAATAATGAAAGTCAAGAAATTGGCATTTTACCCTAGGTCTGGGATTTTTCAACCGAATTTTTGTTTTTTTGGTTCAACACTTTTCAGGCCCATTAAGAAGCAAATCTCTGAGTGGATTTTACGGAAAAACATTGGTTAAAGGCGGAACAAATGTGAATTTTCAGTTTCCACGGACTCTCAAGCTAAAGTAATAGCTCCACTTTGGCAGGCCATTTTCTCGTTAATTTTACATCTGAAACCAGATGACCCTCACCTCCTTCAATCACACATATCTCGACCTCTATTCAAGATAGACGGGTATTTTTTTCATCAAGAGCAAGGCAAATGAGGCTTTTAGATGATACCAGTAGCTCAACATGCCCAAAAATTGACATGCCTGATTCCAACGCGTTGTGACTCCAGCTACTGTCAGCCGGATTGGAAAAAAATGTACTGAGGGGACGAATATTGACCAGTATAGTGACCTACCCCACATCCTCTTCCGCCCTCCCAATTACTAAGCCATGCTAAAAAAAGTAGTTTGTACCTCGTACTGTATTAAAAACATCTGTTGCCACACAGATATTTGCATAAATTTGTCCTTGTAAAATACTGGAAAATATTTTTGCTAGATCTATGACTTGATGGAGATTCATGTTTTGTAAAACAAAAGCTAGACTGTGAAGCATCGGTGGTCTAGTGGTAGAATACTCGCCTGCCACGCGGGTGACCCGGGTTCGATTCCCGGCCGATGCAGGTTACTTTTTTTAAAAACCTTGTAGTTGATGTTTATATTTTTGGTTTCGAAACAGTGTCAGTGCTGTAAAAGTTAAGCTCTCCCCCGTTGATCACAAAAGACATAAGTTCGGTTCTCGCGTGGGGAGAACTATTGCATTGAGTACATGTAACTATTTTTGTAGAGATGCTTTATCCCGCTGGATTGGAAAAACGTGCTGAGCGAGAGAAAATTGGACAAGTGGTGACCTTGACCCACCCCAACCCTGATCCCCAACCCTGATCCTCACTGCCTTTCCTCTTTAGAATGAACGTTGTAGCACCGTATGGATAGAAGTTGTTATTAAGCAAAGACTTCAATAATGTGCCCCACCCCCCCCCCTCCAGTCGGAACAAACCACAAGGAATATGATGGAAATAGTTCAAAAGGAAAAGTATGGAGAAACAGGTGAAACATTAGTGATCTAGTGGTATAATATTCTATTGCCGTGTTGGTGGCCTGGATTTGATTCCGAACCGTTGCAAAATTATATAATAATATGTTCTCTTATTTAACAATGATATATTTTTAAAAATCCAGGAGGGGGAATTTATCTTGTCGTTCACAACGACAGTGTCCTTTCAAAGTTCATATAATGCACTCACTCATACACAACAAGAAAGGAGAGACGTAAATGCGTTCTGAAACACCCCTGTTCCATACTTTATTAACACACTGCCACGTGAAGTTCTTTTTGCAGTCCCTAGCCTAACCGGCGTCTGTTGTGTATTAGATAAACTCTTCACCCTTACAAGCGAAAGGCGCAAGTTCGATTCCTTTGTACAGGAGTACAATGAGTCAAGAACGTAATATCAGATATGGTCAGCGGAATTGGGGCAAATGTGCTGAGGGGGAGATATATTGACTAGTATTTACCACATAAATGCTTCGATCTGTACGGAGAAAGGCGCAGGAAAACTTAACCTTTAACTTAATGTAAATATTGTAAGACAAAAACTAGACTATGGAGTATTTGTGGTCTAGTGGTAAAATACTCGCCTGCCACACAAGTGACCCGGGTTCGATTCCCGGCCGATGCAGAATTTTAGAATACATGTAAGCCTATTGTATTTTGTTTGACAATACCAATCTTTTTCAGCTCGCAGGGAGAAATTTGTCACGTTTTTTTTTTTTTTTTGGTAAGTGTTTTTACGGCGCTCGCAACTGCATAAGGTCATATGAGCGCGCGGGACACACCTAATATTTTCAGTTGGCAGGAAATTTTGAATTTTGCCCGGGTGGCGGCCGAAGCCTACTCTTTCTTATCGATTTAAGACCACCAGGGGATCTTTAACGTGCGCAACTTGCACACGGGTCCTCTGAGATTTTTCGCCCTTTTCCGAGAAGGCTAGGTGTAGATCTTTCCTACCAGAAGATCAGGGGTGTGGCAGAAAGACAGCAATTAGGAGGAGCCAAGGAGTAGCAGTAGAAAGGCTGCAGAAAGAGTCAGGAGCCTAGAGGAGGGGGCAAATGAGGTGAGGGGGTGGGGTCAGAAAGTGGAAACGAAAGCAGACAACAGAACATTGCTAAAGACCAGGAAAGGAGGTGAAAGGAGACAATTTTAGAGAAGAAAATTTTTCGGTCGCTACCCGAATTCGAACCCGGGACCTTTGAATGAGAGGTCAACACTTTAACCTCTAGGACACGAGAGGCCCCCTCGGGAAGTTTACAATGGCAGTGGCGTTCCAAAATTCCTATATTATGCACTGTGATACATCCCCGTTCCATACTAATTGAACACACTCATGATACGTGCAGTTCTTTTTGAAGTTCCTAACCGACGTCTGTGGTGGTGAACCGGTAGTTAAATTTCCACTTTGATTGCCAAAGGCGTGAGTTAGATTCCTTGGCGGGAGAGTACTCGTAATGTATTCCATAGCATTTAATTTAGTTAATGTGACACACAGACATACAGACAGACAGACAGACAGACAGACAGACAGACAGACAGACAGACAGTCAGACATACAGAGACACACACATACACACACGCACACACACATAGAGATGGAGATAGATAGATAGATAGATAGATAGAGAGAGAGAGAGAGAGAGAGAGAGAGAGAGAGAGA